TCCAGTTTTTCATTTTTGCTATCATTATTGTCGTTATCCCGTCTATTTCTAAGCAGTTGTGTGGTGTGAATTACTAAATCATATGCTGCAATGTCATGTGACCGTGTTGTTTCACCGAAAAATGCCTCACACACACGCACACATAAATGTGCAAAGCAATATGTTGGCAACAGTGGTGACTGCTGCGCTAGTTGCCACCCATTCTAAGTCAGTCTAGATGCTCACAAGTTATGCAGTTAAAGTCTCAGTTCTTGAACGTACCGAGTGAATGCAGCGAGAGAGGTTTTGCGTCCATAACTTAAATGTGAAAGGAATAAATTCCAATAATAAAGAACTTAATTATCATATGATATATTTGACATTTATGTAAATGGTGTGGAATTTGTAGGTCTGTCTACTTCTCAGCATAATTTTAATTATAAAGTATAATAAAACTTTTGTACAAATGTACATTTATATATAATGTCTACATATATTATACATATGTGGTTCTATACATATATATAAACTATTCAATATAATAATTCTGGCACATTTTCATTGCAGTACGGTCAACAGTTTACTTTCTCTAAAAGTTATTTTGTGTTTTTTTTTCCCAATGGATAAAAATCCTGATATAATCAAATTGAATAGTGTTAATGAAGGTTTTGAGGACCGTGCTTGATATGATTTATATGTTCTTTAACATTGTAAAACATACTTATGTTTTATCATCAATAGCTTCCGCAGCGCGTTTGACGAAAGACGTTTTAGGGCACTTTTTTACACCTTGGTTTATGTTACTTTAGTTTAGTAAGGATCCCTAATATTTTCTAGCAATATATATAGCCTATGTTACTCAGTGTGCATGTAGCTTTCCAATGGTGAAGGGATTTCTGAAATCGGCACAGTAGTTTTAAAGTTTATTCATTACAACCATACACAAAAATGTTTCCTCTTTATATTGTAATATGACAGTAATGTAGTTGTGATTCAGTAATACAGGGTGGCTTACGAATCGTGCTACAAAAACAAACCGTAATAATTTTTTTTAATAAATGCATTACATTTATTTATTTATTTTTTATTGTATAGCAAATTTTATTTTGTTTTATATAATTAATTATCTTTAACAAGTAAGGAAGGGCTAAGTTCGGCGGTAACCGAACATTTTATACTCTAGCAAAGTCAAAGGTATACTTGTTTGAGATTTCTTTGTGGATTGACTGATTTTCTCGGTAGAAGGTCAACTATAGGCACTGGGGTCCACATATTTAGTACTTAGGGGCTTCAACAGTTTTGTGGCATACTTTAAATGCATTATTCACGCAAAGTTCTAAGATAGTTAAGATGGAATTTAAAATGGTGTTATATGGTAAATAGGCGTGGTTGTACTCCGATTTCGCCCATTTTCGCACTATAACATAGATATATGAGAAGAATGTTATGTACCGAATTTGGTTGAAATTGGTTAAGCAGATCTCAAGATATGGGGTTTCCCCTAAAAGTGAGCTGTGCCACGCCCACTGTCTAATTTTGAACGCGGTTCCTATAAAGTCATCTCATATCATCCCAGAGATAAAATTTAATGTCTTTGGCGTGTTTAGTGCTTGATTTATCGCGCTTTTAGTAGTTTTTACGGTACCGTTATAAGGGGAGTGGGCGAAATTGCGACCCGATTTCAACTATTTTCACACTGTAAGTAGAGGTTCTAAAAACATTTGCTTCCAGTGAATTTTGTTATTATAACATTAGCGGTTAAGGAGATATGCACATTAAACCTACTAGGGGAGGGACCACGCCCACTTTAAAAAAAATTTTAACTGTAGATGCCCCTCCCTATTGTGATCCTGTATACTAAATAAGAGTCTTGTATCTTGTTGTGGAGCTTAGTTATGGCAATTGATTTGTTTTTGATTAATGGTATTTTGTGGGCGTGGCAGTGGTCCGATACGCCCATCTGCAATACCAACCGTCTCACGGTACCAAGAAACATGTCTACCAAGTTTCATAAAGATATCTCAATTTCAAAATGGGCCTCATCAGACATAAATAGGCAATTTACTATGTTATTGTCTTCTTCAGCAAATTCAATAATTTTTTGACAAGTTAAACTGGTTTGTTATTTGAAGTTTCTCCGGAAATGGGTTTAAGTCATCATGAATTATCCGTTGTAATGAACGTCTGTTAACTCCAAGTTGCGGCGATAAGTTGCGAGTCGAAGCTCTTGGATTTGCCTGAATTGACGATGAAACAGCCGCGATTGTTTCTTGAACACGAGCATACCTATCTCGATGGTACGGTTTTCTTCGATACTTTCAGATTCGGAAAACTCGTTTACCAACGTCATAATAGTCCAACTACTCGAGGGAGTGCCGCCAAAATCCCGTCTGAATTACCTTTGGTCAGAAATTACGGACTGCAAAGCATGGTACCGCTGCACTAGCCAAACCCGCTTTTCAATATCCCAAGCATTCATTTTGAAAAAAATTTAAATAATTACCTGCCAAATAAGAACAAAGGCAAAGGTAAGTCGATTACTCACACAGAGAAAAAGTTATTATGATTTGTTTTTGTACCACGTTTCGTGAGCCACCCTGTATGTACAAGTATAAGCATTCAAAGTAGTTATTCGGTTGAAAAATAACGCAAATAAAAATTGTTACAAGAACTTGATTTTGATCGTTAAATTTGTTTGACAGTTACATATATGCTACAGTAGTCCGATCGGAAAACTTTGTTCGGTGATTGTAGTGTAGATTGTAGCCTTAGCCAATAATTTTGTGTATATATTTGTTTTTAAATAAAAGTTTACCATACAAAGACTTGATCAATCAGTTTGTATGGCAGCTATATGCTATAAAAGTCCGATATCAGCGGTTCCGACAAATGAGTAGAAGACAAATAGCTTCAAAAAATAATAAAATAAGAAGTTGGAAGATATGCTTGGTTTTCCAGAATTCTGACTATATTTCGGTATTGCAGATGGGAGTAATTGGCCCGCAAAAGTCCATTAAACGAAAATTGTAAAGTGACATAACTAAGCACTAAATTAAGATATAAAACTTAAATTGGGATAGGGAGCGCAACAGCGAGAGACACCTATAGGCAAAAATTTAAATCTACGAGCTCAGCAAATGTTTTACCTTTCTATGAATTTGGACAAAATAACTGGTTAAAATAGTTTGAAAATATAAACAGAATAATTCTTTTTACCTGTTTTCCATTATCTTTTGTAATTTTTCTAAATAAATTCATAAATGTTTAACTACAACTGCTTGTTAGCAGGTGAAATTTTTTGATACTCTAGTCAACCCCACTGGCACAGAGTTGAAAACCGTAATACCAAAACAAAAGTTGAACTTTGGCAACACTTCAACGGAAATTTTTTTCTGACAGTATGTGTATCTATGTGTCTAAAATTATTGAAACCGAGTAAAGACTTGCCGTAGCCTTCATAAAACTAATATCACGATTTTCGAACATCAGGCTGACTTTACTCCATATATATTAGTGATGGTAAGTGAGGTACCTTAGTACAACTCGGGGAGCATTTTATAAGTATGTGGCATGTAAATAGTATGTAGTATTGCAAAAGTAGATGTAATCAGGTCAACACTATTACTATCTTGCATATACGTAATATGAGATTTTCAAACGTCCGGGTGGCCTTATACCATATACTTATATCAGTCAATATGTAAAATATCTTAGCAAAATTAACTGAACGTATAATATTGGATATACTATAGTTTAATGCCGAAAATATGTGATGATACTACATATAATAATTTTCGTTATTCTAACAAGCCTTGTGGAAAGTATGTCGTTCAGTGTATAAAATATATATTTTTTTTAAATTGCTTGAAAATATATTCTGAAGTATACCTTAGCAATGTCAAAATTAATGCAATTAGCCCGCCTGTTTCTCTGCCCGCAATATACCTCTTATACTGATTTCCGACTTTTCTCCTGACTTTAAACCGTTCAGGTTAGTCAAAATAGTCCCGTTTTGCACACCAACTCAATATATTAAATTTAGTCGCTTCGAATGAGTTTATGTAACATTTCTCATTTAAAGATGATTTTAATAAAGTTTTCGTTGACATGGAGTAAAAATTATTAATAAAACTAAGTTAGTATATGACTTTTAATATAAGTTATAAGAGAACAAATTTGATTGTAATACATACACAATGTCGTCGAATGATGATTGTTGAATTCTATCGCAAAATCTTTATACTCTCGCAACATGTTGCTACAGAGTATAATAGTTTTATTGACCTAACGGTTGTTTGTTTTACCTAAAAATAATCGAGTCATATATAGGGTTATATATATATAATATATATTATAACTGATCAGGATGAAGAGACGAGTTGAAATCCGGATGACTGTCTGTCCGTGCGTCCGTCTGTGCAAGCTGTAACTTGAGTAAAAATTTAGATATCTTTATGAAACTTAGTGCACATGTTTCTTGATACCGTGAGACGGTTGGTATTGCAGACGGGCGTAATCGGAGCACTGCCACACCCACAAAACGCAATAATCAAAAACAAATAAATTGCCATAACTAAGCTCCACAATAAGATACAAGACTGCTATTTGGTTTACAGGATCACATTATGGATGGGCATCTGCAGTTTAAAATTTTTTTAGGCAGTGGCCGTGGTCTCGCCCCCTAAAAGGTTTAATGTGCATATCTCCTAAACCGCTAAAGCTGTAATATCAAAATTGAGAACAAATGTGTGAAAATGGGTGAAATCGGGTGACAACCCCGTCCACTCCTCATATAATGGTACTGTTAAAAACTACTAAAAGCGCGATAAATCAAGCACTAAACACGCCAGAGACATTAAATGTTTATCTCTGGGATGGTATAAGATGACTTTATAGGAACCACGTTCAAAATTAGTCAGTGGGCGTGGCACCGCCCACTTTTAGGTGAAAACCCATAACTTGGGATCTGCTTGACCGATTTCAACCAAATTCGTTAAATAACTATCTTCTCATATTTACAGGTTACAGTGCGAAAATGGATGAAAACACGCCTATTTCCCAGATACCACCATATGAAATTCGATCTGATTCTTTAACTTTTCACTATGCAAATCAAGCAACAATGATTGTATCGGGGTAAAACTTTGAATGATGCGTTTAAAGTACGCCACCTTGTGACCAAAAATTGTCTAAATCGAACCAAAACTGTTCAAGCAACTAAGTACTGAATATGTGGACAACAGTGCCTATAGTTGACTTTTTACCGAAAATATCTGTCAATGTGTAAGATATATAATTGAAATTCATATAATAAAATAAATAAATGAAACTCTCGATAATAGTATGTCTTTGTGTCAAAAAATGGTTTGAATCGGATCAATACTTCCATTACTATAAAATTTTGCCAACACCTGAAGTAACTTCACGGGATTTGATCCTTGCAAGTTGCGAGAGTATAAAATGTTCAGTTACACCCGAAATTAGAACTTCCTTACTTGTTTAATATAAGGTTTTGCCAGTACCTAAAAGTATTTCTCCGGCTTAGTTCTTGCAAGTGCCAAGAGTATAATTTGTTCGGTTTCACTCGAACTTAGCCCTTCCTTACTTGTTTGGTATTATTTTTCTGTGCACACTCTAGCAATAATTTCCATAAGCACTTATTATTAATTTTGACTGCACAAAAGTAAGCTGCTTTGATTTTAATTAAAGTTTGCAAACCATTTATTTCCCACACTATTTCCTCCTGTACCTCCACCTGTAGAGCAGAGCAGAACCACTTCTTCATTTCGATATGCTATTACATTTCCGTTTTTCGGCAGTTTTACTGAGCATTATTACTAAGCGCGTAAATGCAATTACCAGCAAACACCTGTACAGCGCATTTGATAACCAGGTGCAAGAGTTCAAAGGTGCGAGGAGTAGCAGTAGAGTTAGCGAATGTAACAACGCATTTATTGAAAGAGTCCAAAAAGTGGCGTAAACAAACAAATGGACGCATTCAGTTTCAATTATTTAAACCGTCACTCGGTGAAGGGCGCACTAACTGGGTTTGACGCTTAGCCCATTTTGGCCTCGACTTAGACCACGCAACTGGACATTGGATTGCGCTCGTAACTTTCGGTTTATTGCACGTTCTCGTGTTTTCTATGCTTTAATTGTAATTGTTGTTGGCTGTTGTTGCAACAGCAGTGTGTCTCTGTTGCTGAAGCTTGTGGCAAGCGGAGAGTCGTGAGCCTAGGCTGGCGAATTTCCGCCATGCCTGTGCATTGATGTGTGCCATTTATTTCGCACGTTCTGCATAGAATGCAAATGCGCCAAAATAAAATGCAAACAGAAACATCAACTAAAGGTATAAAAAAAAAAAAACGAAAATGAAAATAAAATGACGAAAATATCAAAACTACAAAGCCAACCAGCTCGGAGGGCAGACGATCGGACGGTCAGCCAGTGCGACAGTTGGCCGGCCAGTTGGCGCGCATCCGTTCGCATCTCTTTAACTCATTGCGATTTTTGCTGCCTGGCTGCCTACCTTTTTATTACCATTGCAGTTAGCATGTGTTGTTGATATTTTCCGCCATTTTTTCCTGTCCTTTTTTTTTTAATTCGGTTTTGTCCATGCTCAGCTCGGTGTTTTCACTGAATTTTTTAGTTCATTGTTACTGTTGTTGTATTCGTATGTATTTTTTTTATTTGTTTGTTGGTGAAGCCGTTTTAAGCTTTTAAGCTTTCATTACATAATAAACAATGAATAAGTGATGCTGGTAGTTGTTGGCTGTTGAATTTGGATATGCGCCCCCATATGCCAACCCATAGCGCACGTTGAAATGTTGTATACTTTGTATACTTGCACATGCAAATATATATATAAATCTATGCACATTCATACAATCCTTTAGAAGAACGGAAGTTGCCCCATATTTGCCGTTTTTCCGTTACTACTTTGTTGTTTATTGTATTGGCAGCAATTGTTGTAGCTTTTATTACTGTAGGGCGGTTGACGCCATTTTTGTCGCCATTAATTTGGCAAGAATGGACTGAGCTAGCGGTTGGCAGTGCTGGTGCTCTGAGCATGTCTGATTAACTGTAAATTTAATTTAAAACATGAATGAACCAACGCACACATTTGAGCCAGTCATTGAAGTGCTCGCGCCCACACGAGCACACCTACACTAACCCGCGTTTTTTCATGTATGTGCGTATGCAGGCATTTAACGATAACTATTTGTCGCCGCTGCCACAGCCGGTTTTTTCTTTTTTCACATTCTACAATACTTTGATCTATACGGAGAGTTCCCAATCTACCAGCGAAAAAGTTTATTTCATTTGCAAAAGTTTTAATTTGCAGTGGAATGTCAGCATCAGTGCTTGGCGGATTGCGAAGATTTAAAATATTCGACAAATATATAGATTACAGAGCTCAAATGGCATACAGAGAGTGGAGTTTTTTTTGCCAAACATTTTTTAACACTCAAAAGGAAACGTCGACAGAAATGATCAGCGTAACGAACTGAATGATTTACTAAGCCTCTTAACGTTTGTGATTTGCAGGTATGTTCCTCCCTAAGAAGCTGCCCTTTTTTCGGAACCGCCGATATTGGACCAATATAGCATATAGCTGTCATACATAAAATCCTTGTATGGAAAACTTTTTTATTTGTCAAGATATCATCACGAAATTCGGCATTTTTAATGTCCGAGACAACCCTACAATAAATGTCATATTACACTGATCATAACACTATAGCATATAAATCAAGATAACTTGTAAAACGTATTATAGGAGCGATGCAGACGAAGTTAACGTTTTTTCTTGGCTTTTGCTAATTAACTTAATGTATTATATTAGGTAAACTAAAAAGTTCGTTCAGTTTTTTATAGATTTTTCAAAAGATGATAAATTTGTGTACATTTGTCCGATTTAAGTCAAATATGCGCCGTTTTGTTCGTAAACTTGTTGCTAACGAGAAGCCAACTTCATTATACCCCTCTCGTAGAAGACTGCGTCCCTATTGCCAAAAAACTCAGAGAGCCAATTTTTACAGGCCTCTCTTGAGGCCAACTTCTCACCATTAAGCGCGTTCGCCATGGACAGGAAAAGATGGTAATCACTTGGTGCCAGGTCCGGACTATAAGGTGGGTGCATTAGAACCTCCCATCCGAGCTCCAGGAGCTTCTGGCGAGTCACCAAAGTCGTGTGTGGCCTGGCGTTGTCCTGATGGAACTCTGGATTAGTGCTGCCTTCAAGCTGTCCAGTTGTTGGCAGTCCGCCGAATTGAGCGTTTGGTCATAGGGGAGCAGCTCGCAGTAGATGATTCCTTGCCCATCCCACCAAACACACAGCAAAACCTTCCTGGCCGCCAATCAGGTCTTGGCCACCATCTGGGCCGCTTCCCCGAGCTTTCACCATGACCGTTTGCGCTCGATGTTGTCATAAGTGACCCATTTTTCATCACCAGTCACAATCCGCTTCAGAAACGGGTCGATTTTGTTGCGATTCTGCAGCGATTTGCAGATGGAAATTCGGTCCATCATGTTTTTGCGTTAGTTCATATGACACCCAACATCGAGCTCCTTTTTGAATCCAAGGTTATGAAAATAGTTCCAAACGGTTTTCTGGCTTATCTTTAGTTCCTCAGCAATTAAATAAGTGCTCATGTGACGGTCTGTTTCCACCATTTCCATGATTATATCGCAATTTTCGACGACAGGCCTCCCGACGCCTGGTACGTCTTTGACACCGAAATTACCGGAACGGAACCTAGCAAATCACTTTTGTGCTACACGTTCGTTTACAGTATCGGGCCCATGAACTAAATTAATATTTTCAGCCGCTTTGGCTGCTTTTTCGCTTTGATCGAAGAAAAATTGTAAAATATAGCGAATTTTCTCTTTGTTGGTGTCCATCTTTGACGAGCGCTCACAACGAACTGAGTAAATCAATCGAAAACTGTCAGAGACAAACTTTTAGCGCGAATAAACACGTTTTTAGCGCCGTATAGTATGACATGATGCGACACGTAACACTAGTACTATGGACAATAACGCCATCTCTTAGATAAAAACCGAACGAACTTTTTACTGGACCTAATATTATAATATAATTATATGAGCGAATTTATCGTCTCTATTTTTATACTCTCGCAACCTGTTGCTACAGAGTATAATAATTTTGTACACCTAACGATTGTTTGTATCACCTAAAACTAATCGAGTTAGATATAGGGTTATATATATATAAATGATCAGGATGAAGAGACGAGTTGAAATCCGGGTGACTGTCTGTCCGTCCGTCTGTCCGTGCAAGCTCTAACTTGAGTAAAAATTGAGATATCTTTATGAAACATGGTAGACATGTTTCTTGGTACCGTGAGACGGTTGGTATTGCATATGGATTGCGTAATCGGACAACTGCCACGCCCACAAAACGCCGTTATTCAAAAACAAATAAATTGCCATAACTAAGCTCCACAACAAGATACAAGACTCTTATTTGGTATACAGGATCACAATAGGGAGGGGCATCTGCAGTTAAATTTTTTTTAAGTGGGCGTGGTCCCGCCCCTAATAGGTTTAATGTGCATATCTCCTAAACCGCTAATTCTATTATAACAAAATTCACTGGAAGCAAATATTTTTAGAACCTCTACCTACAGTGTGAAAATGGGTGAAATCGGGTGGCAACTCCGCCCACTCCCCATATAACGGTACTGTTAAAAACTACTAAAAGCGCGATAAATCAAGCACTAAACACGCCAGAGACATTAAATTTTATCCCTGGAATGGTATAAGATAACTTTATAGGAATCTCGTTCAATATTAGTTAGTGGGCGTGGCACCGATAACTTTTAGGTGAAAACCCATATCTTGGGATATGCTTAACTGATTTCAACCAAATTCGGTACATGACATTATTTTCATATTTCTATGTTATAGTGCATGAATAGAAAATAGGCGAAATCGGATTACAACCACGCCTATTTCCCATATAACACCATTTTAAATTCCATCTGATTCTTTGACTTTCCACTATGCAAATCAGGCAACAATAATTGTATCGGCGTAAAACTTTGCGTGAATAATACGTTTAAAGTATGCCACCTTGTGGCCAAAAATTGTCTAAACCGAACCAAAACTGTTCAAGCCCCTAGGTACTGAATATGTGGACCACAATGCCTATAGTTAACCTTCTA